CTTTGTAAGCTATTTTACTAACCTGGGCTAAAAGGCCATTCAAACAGGAAGAAGTCATTATAAATAAGTCCGATTACTGTTCACTAATGCACTAAGGACTAAATAGCCCAGTATGTGGAGAAATTGAATCTGGTCCAAGTGTTTATCCACATTAACCTCTGTTAATTGGAGTAAAAAGCAGAACCTTCAGAACCATCAGAACAACAACCTAAGTGTGAAGTACAGGGGTGGGAATAGTCTGTTTTGTGTTTTTCTGGGGCGACAGTGGCGTTGGATGTAGGAGTTTGCCCTGAAATCGAAGGGTTGACGGTTCAAGCCCCGACTCTGACTTTCAGTGTCGTTGTGCCCTTGGGCACTTCACCTGCATTGTCTACTGATGGTGGTCAGAGGGCCCAGTGGCGCCAGTGTACAGCAGCCCCGCATCTGTCAGTGAGCCCCAGGGCAGCTGTGGCTACAATGTAGCTTGCCACCATCAGTGTGTGTGTGTGAATGGATGAATGAATGTAGTGTAAAGCGCTTTGGTAAAGTCTCCTAACTTGAATTAAGGTGCTATATAAGTAAATTTTACCATTTTCCAGAAGTGAATGGTGCACTTCATAAAAGAAGGCATGAAAATCATAGAACACCATCAGAAAACCACAAACAACATATCAAGACATGAACAAGTTTCTTTCCAAATGGACTCATCCCATCAAAAGAGTTAAAAACCTGAATATAATTGAATAGAAAAATTATTTTGGAGTGAGCATCACAAAGGTCTGAACGCAGTTCAACTAATATCTGATCCGCTAATTACAGGTTATAATGCCGGATGTGTTCCTACTTAGCAATGGCTACATTTAACTGAAACAACCAGGGCTAAACAGGAACAAATAGACAGAAAATCTTATATCCATATGATAGGAAAGTTGTTCGATTTATAATCCTCAAAGATCCAAATCTAAACTTTGGAATCACTAGAAAAACAACCAAAAAAAAAAAAAGCCAGCCAGCTCTTCTTACCTTGCTCTCCTGGCTTTTAACCGGTCGGAGGACGACGCCATGTTTGATTCGCTCCATCATCTCATTCACCGCTTTCACCTTGACATCATCCACCCCTTCAGCAGCTGCAGACATTTTGAAAGAAATCACCACTTAATATAGTGACAGAACCTATAAGAGTGAGCAGACAACAGAGACAATACCAGAAACTGAACATCTTAACCACAACCAAAAAAGTAGGACACAAATGAAAATGTAACTGATTTGGCAACTGATCAGCCGTAAGGAAACAGGATCATGTCTACACCACAGCATAGATTCTGGAAGCCCCTCAGGTTGTCAAATTTGTGTGAAGTCATCAGCTCAACCTAAACATTGCTGATGATCTACTATATCGCTTCATGGAAACAGTCTGAACCTGATGGCCCTGGATTATTTCTGCAGAAATGAAGGGAGTAGGTTTGATTTCAACTTTGGTAGGGACACTATTGGTCTGATGTCATTGGTCCTAGGCAAAAATATGCATGCTCGATTTTTTATGCTTGAAAATCAGGGGATATTTCATTTAAAGAGAAAAGCAGCATTTCTTGATACATTTATACAAATTTTATAAGCACTACACACACTAGATGCTGCTTGTCAATGTTTGAAGCATCACTGGCTCTAATGAATGTGGAATTACCAGCAACTAATAGATTCAAGGGATGCCAAATAAATTTAGTTTATTTACATGAGCACTGGAACTAGAAGAGGAACTGAAACTGAGCTTTTAGAACACTAACTTCATTCTACAAATTGTACATCTAGGCAGTATTTACTCTGTTTAACTCATTTCATGTTTTTCATCTAGGGCTGAAACAATTCATCAGATTAATCTATTATTGAAATAATGTCCACAAATTTAGTAATCGATTAATTGTTAATTGGAGATAAAATATTCTAAAACATGTCTTTAACTCACAGGGCGAGCCACTTAGAGCAGGAATTATACCAAAATTGTAAAAAAATATATATAAACATTTTGCATTTTACATAAAAAATGTTTTTGTCTGTCAATATTCTCCATCCAGAACTCCTCTACTGCTGCAACAACGCTGTATTTTAAATTTTAAACATGTTATTCACATCTAATTGTTGATAGGGACAAGTAGGTTGGTCCACAATTTTGGTAGGGACGTGTCCCTATGGTCCCTATGCATACCTACGCCCATGGAAGAAATAACCCTTGCTGTCATCACTAAGAAGCTCTTATGATTTAAGGAACACAAAACCTAGATGATGATGT